ATCACGTAGATAGGTTCAAAGAAAATCCCCAAACGAATCAAGGCTTAGTGAATCAAATACTGTTGGGAGTCATAAGGAGAATAAGGTACAGGAGAATGATGATGATAACAAGCGGCTTGATTGTTTTAGTTTTGAAAATTCAGACATGAGACGGTCACAGGCATAAAAGAAGAGGTAGGTCATGAGCCTAGGCTTGAACAGGGGTAGGAAAGTTGATTGAGAGGAATGCCTTGGATACTGGAACAGAGAACACTTGAAGGGGGTAGAATAATATTAGATGGGAAACATAGTCAGGACAAGTCCTTGGTAGAGATTGAAGACAGTAAAGGCATTCGGTTGACTTGCAATTTGGTTGAGGCAGTGGAACGTGATTTGAGGATTGCAGTGATGTGATCTCATCTATGGGTGTGGGTGAGGGGTCTTGTGACTAAAACATTCTGGATAATTTGTAGTTTAAAGGTGAGGAATTTGAGAAGGCTGCAGATGAGACAATTTCAGGAGGAAAAAGATGTAGAAGAGACAGGCGAGGGTCTCATCAGCAGATGGGGTAAGCAAATGGCAGACGTGGGTGATGTTGCCAGCAGTGAAGGCAGAAAGTCCAACAAATGTTCAGAGATTTTGGCGGAGAATGAGAGCTTTGGATCAACGGCAGCCCTAACACCATGTACTCTCTTTGGCTAGCATGGTAGTAGAGTTTGCGAGGGTGCACACTTCAACTCATTCTTTCCCAATGAGGAAGACTTCAGTTTTGAGAATGCCCTGCTGGATAATGTTTGAACTAAATCAAGTTTCGAAGCACAGTGTGAAAAGCCTATGATGCAAAGTGGTCAACAACAGAGAGCCCTATTGATAAAATAGCAGATTGAAAACACATTTCTTGAATCATACAAGGTGTGATGAACTTTGGAAGAAAAATGCTTCGTGGTGGAAGAAAGAGAAATCTACAATTTAATGTGTTTTTGCTTATTTAAATCCAGAGCTATATTGAAAAATACATTCCTTGTCTAAATAGGCTATTATCTGGTGATAATGGTTTACTACTGGTTATAGTAAAGAAAATGTGGCAAACGGTGAAATCAATGCCAATATCTAATTTAAACTTTGTAATGTTGCTGTGAAATTACAATTTTGATGTAATTGCAAAAAATACAAGGGCATGAAAAAGTGCGATGCACAGAAGAAAGGAAAACATTTCCCACACTTTTAGTATGAACATATGTTCTGTTTTAGCTGCCTCTTGGCCGATTACCTATAAGCAAGACAAATATAGATTGGGCACACAATCAGATATAAAGAAACAGATACATACGCGAACATGACCATATACAATATTTACAAAGTATGTCACAGAACTTGTATATTTAAAATCATTGATAATGAGAGTCAGTGCAATGTGGATATCACATTCTGAGGGTTGTAGTTTACGGCACTGCTGGCAATGTAGAATTCATCTCATTGCCGCATGTATGGTTAAGTCACGTGCAGGTGTCCCTGAAGAAAGAATAACAATATAAGCACATTCTTGGCCTGCAGTCCTAAACGACAAGAGTAATAACGTTTACAAAAAATGCTTTAATATAAGCTATTAAACCGTAGACATGAATTGCATCATTAATCCACCATATTTTTAAATGCAATGTGTTTCTGATTTGCTTATTTGACCACTTATGCTGTAGCCTGTGCACGAGAACATTAATCCATGACACAAAATGTCCAAATATGAAACTGTTAATCTTTTAATTATTGAATGTATACCATGTTATATTTATATAATTACATATTTCATTATCATCATTAACCTTTGCTCTTTGTTATATAGTCATGAATATAAGCAGATAAATTGGAACAATGTATAATTATGCATAACTACTATATGTAAATTAACAACTAATTGGCTTATGTGCCAAGAGACAGCCTCCAAAGAGTCAACTCAGTCCTCATTTTCACCAAACTTAAAATTTTTCCAGGACTACTGTGATGTGGTGAAGCAGCCATACTCATTGTGCACTGCGCCCACACACTCTCTCTCCCCAAGATTTCCCTGTTCTCAACTCTCACCTACCTAACCACCCCCAACCCTAACTCCTGACCCACTTCAATGTTTTGGCCTGATGGATCTAAATCAAAGGTTAGGATTTAGCACTTTTTCACTCAGCCTAACGGTCGGATGGGAAAGCTGTAAAGGTCCTATCGGCGGAACCTTTACCTTTCTATTAGATCTGTATGAGATGGAGGGTTTTACTCGTTCCCATGCAGCATCATGCATAATCATGTTCTGGTGGCGGGGGGGGGGGGGCGAATGGCACAGGAGCTAAAGCCAGGCGACAGGCAATAGTCTAGGTGAAGATCGAGTTCAAATTCATACTGCTCACGTACCAGTATAGAGGGCTTGATTTAAATTTATGGCTTAGGAAAATGTAAATATGACAGTGTGCAATGGTATTCTTCTAGGTCACCGAAAATACATTATGCAAGGCACCAATCTATGGAATGTCCTGATACTATAATTTATTGCAGTCATTTAAAAATTGCTAACTTCTTGTTTATGCGTTGATTTATACGTGTTGGGACGCTGCCGCGGTGCCTCGATGAGCACACTTGACTTGCAATCCAGAGGTCGCCGATTCCCTTCGGTTTCGTGGCGTGGCACTTGGAACAAAGTCTCTGAATCCTCTTCTACTGCCTCTGTCCACCCAGCCATCTATGGACACAATGGCGAGATGTTAACTAACTCACCTGGTTTACAGGAGGCTGTGGGTTCTATCTCGACCCTAATGCCTGCTGTATATTTGGAGTTTGCACGTCTCTCTCCACGTGGTCGTGTGTATTTTTCTCCGGGTCCTCCGGTATTTCCCTCCACATTTAAAAACATTTATTTAGAGTATGCAGCTGTTCTAAGTTTCCACGTGATAAGCAACTTCGTTGGACTATCATTTGTGGCCAGTTTGCTTATGAAAAATAACGATATAGCTCAGTGGGCCTAACCTAGTAAAATAAAAAATTGCTCAGTTTTATATAAATGGGTTCACCAACAGTTAGTGAATCAGCAGGTTGTGTGTGGTGGGGTAAAGTGTGGGTACTCCCTTTTCCTTTACTTTTTACATATAAGGCAGATATGGTAAAGCCAGGCACAATCATAAAAAATACCACGTTAGCCTTTAAATACAGATAATATCTTTCACATTCATGTAAATAAGGATGTATTCAAGAGTCATATCAAATACAGAAATACATTTTCATTTCAGAACATCTCATGTTGTAAAATTATGATTTCGAATTATTTATCAATGGGAAGTGCGGATGGATTACGCATCCTAAATGTACCAGGATGATTGGCACTTCTAGAGTTGTTTGTGGAATGTATTAAATAAAAATATATAGAGTTTTGCATTAAAAGCAGATACAATCATTATGCATTTTGACAATTTTATATTTTTCTGAAAGATGCATCAGAACACAGTTTAATGACATTAAGGTGATATTTAAAGTGTATGGAAAATGTAATTGTTGGAATATCCTCATACCATTCACGCCATTTTAAAATACCCATGTTCGTGGTGCTTGATCACTGGAAGCCCTAGTGATCACACACTCGCTCATCTTACTGAGCAATTGCACAAAAACATCAAGCTGCCTCGTCACTCCTTAAGGGAAACCTTTTTTAATTATAAATTTCGTTTTTGTCTTCTACAAATGTATAAATTAGATTACATTTCATAGCTCTGATTCTCAACAACCCACAAGAGTGTCACTTTTATTCAAAGTTTTCTGACAAAAAGTTCCGAGCACAATCCCTGTTTTTGGAATTTCTGTTGACAATTGATAGCAGATATAAATACTGCCGCAAAAGTGTAATCAGGTGGGAAGACAGGTAGATAACGAGTTCCAGTGGTTAGTAGGATCGGTGCAGCAAATTGGCAAGGAATTGCCGTTTCCGTGGCAATTAATAGAACATTGGCGTGAGTAGATTGACGGATGAGGGAACTATTTTGAGAGATTTCAGAAGAACACCGATCGTAAACGTACCAGCAGAAGATGCGGAGAGGCATCAGAGTAGAAAAGAGGTGAAGCATTAAAGGAGGCAGACAAGTCAAGATTATTTATACGTAGAACTGCTTTTTTATTTGATTCTGTCAAGTGCTGTTGGTATGGACTGTTCCACTGTTCCAAATGTGGAAGCAGTACTCTCTCATGGGGTAGACAGATGATTTGTAAAGTGTTAGTTGTTGCTGCATTCTGATTCCATGAAATTGAGACAATAACTCAGAAACTTAAGATATCTTGCATCCTGAGACTCGGGAAGGGTCTGTTATTCCATTCAACCTTTAGGTCTTTCATTCATAAGAGTCCTTTATTCTGGTTGTATGAGGAAAAGTAACTTGGAATTCTAGTTAATTCATGGTATTGCTCTGTGAGTGTAAGAAATATAGAACACACATGTTTATTTCATTTCATATTATAGTACCGTACCCCACGGCTAACACAGCAGTATTGTTTGAAAAATTACCCTCGTGTTGCATTTTTGAGTAATATTGTCTGCATTGTGCAGTCAATAAATGTAAGTAATGTTTATTGATGGCGCGTTATGGAATATTACTATTTGTCCTATTTCCTTTATTCCAGAGACTTTTTACCAAACATTAAGGGAACTATTTTAGTTCATTTGACACTTGAAGGGAATTAAACAAAATGCAAAGAGAGCTGGGACAAAAAATAACACAACAGAACATTTATTTAAAGAGATAATAGGCAGTAGAACTTACCAAATATTCCCCATCCTTGGCTGTGAATGAGATTGGCCTGTGAATTACACGTCAATTTATTTTGCCCTTTGCAGGCAAAAGGTGTGGGTACCTCACTTTAGAGCTTGCAGTATGTATAAGCCAGTGTAATAGATGTGTTATATGATTAGGCATACTGCTATAGCGAAGCAACACATAATGAGTATATCAACGGTGTGTGTAATGTCCACACTTTTTCCTGTTCCTGCCCTCTTTCAGAACGTGGCCACCAAAGACTTTGCCACCCCCTCTGCGATCCGCACCGTCATCGCTGCCGATTTTGACAATGATCAAGAGCTGGAGGTCTTCTTCAACAACATTGCGTACAACGACAATGCTCCGAACCGCGTCTTCAGGTACCGCAGACTCGTTGTGCAAACGAGGGGCCATGTGTAAATATGAGAGACCAAAACCCTTGTGAACGGAGGGGGGGGGCATTTCTTCTTCGGTTGAAGACTGGTTAGGGGACTGTCATATGGCACTTGATCAAACCGGTTAAAATATTCACAGACACGTTAATTTCCTGCCGCATGTGAAAATGAATACGCTGCCGTAAATTAGTTGGAATGTCATCTCGGCTGGAACAACGAGCAAATTTCTTCTTATGCAACCTATATGGCCAGCCACAGAAAAGTGTAAAATTACCTTCAAGAGGGAAGGTCAGACTCATGTAGCCATGTTGGCCATCATTTGCACATGTTCTAGTGAAATGACGGCTGTTTTTTACGTGATAAAGTACAGCCCAAATCTTGTAATTTCGAAATCATATAGGGACTATTTGGCACTTCAGAGCCAATTCCACCACTGCAGTGCTCATTCCACACTTCCAGAATTGGCCCAAGTTGAGCGGGATTTAGGCTGGGTTACGGTGGTGCTAACGGCAGCAGAATCCCGTTGAGCATGCCGTGAGAGCATGGCTTGTATGGGAAGCTCTTGGGGCTCTCACCGAGAGTGGCGATCCATTCCACCTCCCACGATATGGGAATAAGTCAGTTTTACAGTAAAGAAGCTATCAAAATAACTACCCTGGGTCTTTGTGTTGTGGGCTCTATTGTGTCAGCCACTTATTAAGGGCTTACAAGATTAATGTTTCTCAGTGTCATCTGTTTCACGCAATGCCTTTAGTTAATTCGTTATCTCTTCTATTAAATCTCCCCGCCTCTGTCTACTCAGCAGTATGAATGGGTCGATCGGCCCATTCATACGTGCAGTCGGGTAAATTGTAAGTGTATGAGCCCTTCTGCCAGGAGTGGCATTAGAAATCGATTACAGGGCTGCACTTTTACCTTGTTACCTGTTCTAGGCCTCTTTTAGCAAGATGAAGCCTTCTGAGCAGGCTGCCTGTGGGTAGCAAAGTTAACTTCAAACAAGCATGGGATTGGCTTGTTTTTGTCATTGGTGGGAATTCCACATTCCACTGGAAAGAGTCCGTTCTTGTATATGACAACTGCTCTTCTCTTTCTTCAGATATGTACTCATTTCATCAACCTCTTGAGTAATTAAACGATTGGAAAAGAATGAGCAAAATATCATAGAACAAAGCATGAAAATATAATAAAATAATACTGTGTATGTTCTCTAATCCGCATGTTCCTCTTTCTGTCTCGGTCTAATTCCCGTCGTGCTTCTCTCCAAGCTTCTTTGAACAATTTTTAGTTTTGAACACTTTCCATTACGTGCTCACTCTCCACATTATCCCTTTAATGTCCATGTTTATTAGCCCTATGTCATAGCAGGTAATACGATTCATTAAACACAAGAGTACGTTTGAGGATAAACATGTTGCCAACCATTACAGAAACCATGCATATGCATGCCTTCTCTTCCTTGTTTATTGAATGCCAAAATCCACACAAGAAGATATATTCCCTGAATAAATGTTAGCGTGTAAAGGATGCCATTCGGAATTTGACATTTTAATCGTAATAAAATTGTTGTCGTTAGTGTCACACCACTCTAGGAAAGATAATGCTGAGAGCAACAGATGGAATATGCAGTAAATGTGGTACACACGAGTCCTTTAAATTCTGCAATGCTAATTGTCATGGTTTCCAGGTAGCTGAGAGGATTAAATGACCTTAAACTATCTTGTGGACAACCTTTCTCTATTTATGTCTTCCAACCACACTCTGATTGATGGCACGCTTGCCAGCTTTGCTGCACATTTGAAAGGATAATGCACATTTTTATCTGAAGCATTGTAGATGTTGTTGAATTGTATTATTTGATACAGCGTTTTGTTTTGGGCTGTAAACATTTTTCCAGGTGATGAAGATCCTCATTGAATAAAGAAAATATGAGCTTCCATATTTTGTAGGAAATATGATGCATTTTGGAATGGAGGGAATGAGTAATTGATTCTGGAAGCATACGAATTAACATAAGGGATATAATGCTAGTGCAGACATTTATAGATTGTAATTAATGCACAGGTAATTGTTTAATTGTACAAGTTTAACTGAAGAGTCGAGTACAAACTTCTGTGTTCGTGGAAGTGTCGAGATTTGATTCCATTTGAATTTAAAAAGAAAAATGTTTAAATTGCCAACACATGACTAATGAATGTTTTTCTGACAGCTTCAGAGACATAGAGGTCATAGGAATGGTCGGCGCTGGGCACATTACAGCATGATCCCGGCGATCGGTGTTTTTGCAGGGAAAATGCATTCCGACATAGTTTTTTTAAATGTCAATCGGTAAAGTTGAAAACAGAAATAGTTACCACTACATATTTGCATCCTTGTGTGCACATCAATATAAATAAGATGCATGTGCATTGTGTACAATGCATTATTTACAAAAAGTGTTCTGAATGAATGTGGTGAAAAACACTTTCTAAATGTTTCCCTTCGCATTTCCGACTTCAGCATATTTTGCATGACTTCGGGGGAAATGTTAAACATCTTTTGATTTAAAGCTTTCGTGACTTTACCGAAAGAACCAAGAATATGTTAAACATCTCTCAAAATTCCCAGCAAAATATAGAAATGTTTTCACCCAAATGAGAAAAAAAGAAAGTTAGAAAATATAGATGAAACAGTATAATAAAACTTGCACTCTCAATCTTGCGCCTATCCGTTATTGTGTTGTAACGTGCACTTGCTTGCTTTCAAAATTCCAATTTACGTGACCACATTAAACCAAACCCAGTGATCAGGTAATACTGTTTATGTTGCTCTTTGGCTTTTACATTGTACATCAGCATTACGTGTACAACACAGCAATCGAGGACGTACATTTTTGTTTCAATACCAAATAATAAATTAGATTATATATCATTTGTGCAGGATTACAAATAAACCTTGCACTGGCAAGGGTAATCAAGCACAATCAAATAACCCAGAGATGACTAAGCAAACATCTTTCCAACAACTAAGAAATGTACCAACACGGGCGATTACAAGCAAGAGAATATTGAGAGTTTATCTGCATTATGGCTTAAAATGTCTAACCATTAATTGTGGCAAATATGCAAATTGTATTTCGTATATAGATATTTTTAATACACTCCAGTTTTACATTCGTATTGCAAGTGCATTAATATTTCTCTCTTTTTCCCTATAACGTTATTCTAATTGTGCTCTCGACATCGCGCCGCGAGATGAAATGCCCCACTGCAGCTCGCACAGAGTGGTGCACATTTGTGTGTCGGTGAAAGCCCCGCAGACATAGCCCCCCCCCCCCCCCTCAGAACTGCTTCTGAAATACCTTCAAGTGACATTTGTGTCCACACTCTTGAGGCACGTGTGCTCTACTATCGAGAATAGAGTCCACCAGATTCCACTCAAACATATATTTTAAATTTCGATTTAAAGCTTTAGTGACTGCAAGTACTTGTGGTGAACATGCAAACAAACATGCTCTGATAATATATGCATTGTCTTTGAAACTGATTGAACTACACCAGAGACAGCCTTCTTTATGGCCTAGTCTCGCCATTGTCAGACCAGAGAACGCCAAAAGGTGAACAGTACAAAGACAATGCCACACGTATCAGAGCATTCATAGATTGGGTTTAACAGCTATATCATGGGACCTTTTTTTGCCAGTATCAACGTATGAAAAGTAAAAATGTCATCCTTTCCAGCAATAAAACAAGTTTTAAGATGTTCTAACACCAAATCGATACCTTTTTTCAAGATGTTCAAACACCAACTAGATACCTTTGGAGAAAAGGTATCTTAAGACCTATTTTATTGCCAGATAGGGTAAAAACCTATTATTATTTTTCACACGTTGATACTGGCAAAAAAGGTCCCACGATATGGAACATGTATATTTACTGTGACGTAAAATATGTGAACCCTGCAGCTTGCCCATATTTAAAAGAAGGGGGCCATCTCACTCCTATCGTGTTTGTGTATTGTTGTATTGTTTGTGTGTTGTTGTTGTTGTACCTTGGTGACACGCCCCTACTGTAAATCTGTGAACATGAGCTTCATACAGCTCATTGGATTCCTCCAGGATAAAAATAAAGATTTTGAAATGCGGGATAGGCTGCGACGTCCATCACTTATTTGCACTAATGACTGTATTTTGTCCTGCCCTATCCAACCAACATTTTTGTTGACATGGCTGTAATGATGTGGAAGGGGGAGATGATCCTTCAGTAGGAGGAGGGGAGGTTTTTCCTCCTCCAGCCCCGCAACGTTATGGGGCAGCTGTATGTAGGTGTGTATGTACTTGCGTAACTGATTTTGGTTGTGTATAAATGTGTGTTTATGTGCACAAATGCATGCCAATGTGAATTGTGTTTTTTTCGTCCAATACACTATTACCAGGGATGTCACATATGTGTTTGTGCTCTTGTTTCACTTGTATGAGGCATGTGCTAGCATTGATCAGGGCTGCCTCTGAACTATCTGTCATATGTTACGTGCTTCAGACCGGATGTTCAATGCCATTGAACATTTCCATAATTGTGGGCAAGTGTGGGTAAAAGTGTCTTCATAATTTGAAGACATTCCCTGCCCATAAAGCTGCCCATAAGAAGTGATAGTGTTGTCTCCTGGCATAAACAATATTTAATGTGCTTTTGTAAACATATGGTTGGAGAGATCGCATAAGGTGGTACCCATGAATTCTCCACAGTTTTCTATATGCACAATTGATACCCAGATGTTGTCAAGGAATTAATGGCTACTTGGTACTTAGCCACCGATTGTGTATCCCATTATGGCATCTTGCATGGAACATTACCCCTTGGACAAGTACTGTATAAGTAAGGTGGAAGAACAAAGACGATTGCAATGAGCAGAGTCTAAATAATTGAGAACGGGGCGAGTTGGTGTCATGCGGGGCACACGTGACAGATGGCACTTTAGTCTCTCAAGCTGGAATACCACAATCTGAAGAT